CATTTGTTAAATGTCAAATGTCATTTGTTAAATGTCAAATGTCATTTGTTAAATGTCAAATGTCAGCAATTTTGATTGAGATAGCACATATGTGGTTTACAGAATTTTTTGCCACCATAATATGTTTTAATTTATTTTCAGATACATGATTTCCTTTAGTGTTATGGCAATAGATCCAATATCTGTTTCATTCCCTAGACCTTTCAAAATAAAACTAAATTGCACAATAAAAATGCCTAAACAAATATCAATCGTCCTAACTAAATTTTATAAAATACAAACAAACCATCTTACAAATAACTTAAATATTTCCTATTTATGGCTCTAACATTTAGCAAATCATTTAACACAAAGTTTTACATTTTTAAAGCCGCAGGAGAGAAACATGAATCAAACGTAAACCAGAGATACGCTTTTATTTTGAAAAGCCTGCCTGGGGTCCAATCAGAAACTGAAATTTTAAGTTAACTTCCATTGTAAGAGAGTTTGACTGTGAACATAAGAGAGTTTGTAAGTTTTGGCCCATGGGGCCTCTCATATGACCGATATGGAACCAAAAGTGAATATCACCAGCTGACAACATTCATGATCTTGATGAACATGAGTTTGGCTTCCAAGGATGTCGTTTTCTATTCGTGCTGATGCTTTCACAATAAAAGCCCATTTCCTGTTTGCAGAGTACAACGACAGCATCCAGGAGGGGAACGACTTGTGTCTGGTGGGCGAATACACGGACCAGGATGACCAGCCCAAGAAGAAGGTCTGCCAGTTCAAACGCAGCAATCTGCGCCAGTGCTCTGGTTTGCCGGACGCCAGCTTTGGCTACGCTGAGGGGGAGCCCTGCATCATCATCAAGCTGAACCGGGTCAGTACAGAACCAGCATTAACTCAGGGTACTTTAAATGGTTGGACGTGTTGTGTGTGTCTGGGAGGAGTTTAATTCACTCAGATCATTTCAAAGCTCTCAGATTTTAACACAAAAATCAGCTTTTATTGCTGAATCAGATAAAAACAAAGTCTATACCATCTTTTCTCAGCAGAGGGCGCTGTGGTTGTTTGTACAACTCAGTATTAGAATCAGGCTAAGAAAAAATATAACTATGGGAGTAAAGTTTTAATAGGATGAAGTTATAATGTTAAAGAATAAAGTCAAAATAAGAGAATTAAGACATATTATGACTTTATTCATGCATTATTATGACTTTATTCTAATATTAAAACAACTTTATTGTGATATTATAATGACTTTATTCTTGTAACATTGTGACTTTATTTTTGCATTATTACATCTTTCTTCTTGTGTCATTACATATTTAATATGGTAATCATGGATTTATTTGCATATTATTACGACTTTATTTTCCTAATATTATGATTTTATTGTAATATTATTGTGATTTTATCCTTGTATTATTATGACTTTTTGCAACTTATTTTGACTTTATTCTCATTCGACTATTACTGTTTTATTGTGACTTTATTATTGCGATTTTATTTTCTTATTATTTCAACTTTATTCTTGTGTTGTGACTTCATTTGTGTATTGATATGAATTTATTCTCTTAATTAAATTTAGTAACTTTTTTTCTGAGCCATACTCCATCGTATGCTTTATCGTTATTTTTTTCTTGTGGGATAAATGGATTGTTCTTGCAGACTGAACTCCAGTAAAGACATAAATTGTAGTTTTTTTGATAACCTGAAAACAAAATTAGAAGAAATTCATCATTATTTAGTTTATCATGGAGCTTTAGCTGTTAGAGTGTGAGATTTCTAATAAATCAAAAAGCAATAACTACATTTGTGTCTGCAGGTCATTGGACTGAAACCCGAAGGAGATCCATACATCAACTGTACCGCCAAGGTAACGGCCTAACATCAATCCCATCATGCACCTGTGAAGTTTTTTGTGTGTAGATGTTTAGTATCAGCTGTGAATGCGCACAGAAATAGAACCAGTCTGTGTTTTCTGCAGAGAAACACCCCGCTGCAGATGATTTACTTCCCGCCTGAAGGTCGTCTGGATAAGATGTTTTTCCCGTATTACGGCAAGATCGCTCACGTGAGTAAAGGCTGTTTGCTTCTCACATGCACAGAGGAACTGAAAACACTAACAGGAAAATAAATTCATGACTTCATGACTCTAGATTATTTATTTTGCACCATTTTTCTGAAACTTTTCAGAAAAAAAAATCTCATTGAGTTCCAAAGTCTTTCTTGCAATACCCTCAGTGGCCACATGGTGTCGCCACTGCCAACTATGAAAGCTTGTCTGAGACAGTGAAGCTATTTTATTATGTTGTTATAGTTTAATGAAATGATCAGTGGTGGGAAGTAACGAAGTACAAGTACTTCGTTACTGTACTTAAGTACA